CCTTGCCATTGAAGAAAAACCAGATAACAAGCCTCGGTTCTATGGCATCAAAAGATATCTTGAGAAGCAAGAATATCCAAAAAATACCTATGTGATTGACAAGCAAACTCTGCGGAAGTTAACTTCAAAGTTCTTTTTGAATGATAATGTATAAGAAAATAATATAAATAAAAAATATCATAATATATTATCGTAATTGTTATAAATTAATATCAATAAAATTGTTTAATATATTAATAAAAAATAAATATAAATATTATAATTTTTATTTTAAAAGACATGTGCAACGCACAGGTTAACAATCTACTTCTCTATAAATACTGAGATTTGATTTAAGAGCAATACAACACTACCGACATCTAAACCTTATAGTACAATGAATTATATAATTGATTATTTCACGCTGAACAAAAGAGGGAAACATGTTTTTATTAAAATAGTTTGCCAAAGTCTACCAAAACATAGGATTCAAAATATTAACTCAGAATGCCAAAATTTGTAGGTTAAACAAGGGGACTTGACGAGTTAAATGACGAGTTCAACTCTCATTTTTTTACTCCTTACAATACATTGTGAAGTTTAAGGGCATGTCAACCCTCCAAATACCACAAAAGTGACAAATTAAAAAAAAAAACAAATTTGATTTGTTTTGTCATCCTTACATTTATTAAGTATTATTAAGTTCAAAAATATTGTAAATGCAAAATAAAATATATAGATTAATAAGTATTTTGTCATCCTTACGATAAAAATAATAAGTAGTATTAATTAAAAGAAATAATTTGAAGAAAAAAATTAATATTGTCAAATAAACTAAAAATAATCATTCATATTGAGAACACCATTAAGAGAAAGAAAAAAAAGTTACTCTTTCAATCTTATATGTGCTTTTCCACTGTCTAAAAGTTACGGCTCTAATGTGCGAAGATGCAGTTTTGGACGCATATTTTTAAACAATTTCTCATAACAAGTTAAAGAGACATCTTATTATGTCAAAATTTAATATGAAGATGTTTTTCCGTATGCGTAAAAAGTAAGTCTAAAGATGTATCTTCGTAAATACTATTTATTCAAAAATTAGTGGATGGCCTTAAGATGTATAATTGGAAGCTTTTGTTTTATATCCTCGCGTCAGCCCTCTTCCTCCTTCATTTTCTAAATACTTCTCAAAACAAAATATTTAAACTCTCACACATTCAAGTTTCTAATTCATTCATTCATTCAAGCTTCTACCATTGAAGTTCTTTCTCCTCATTTCCAGCATTTCATATATTCAAGCTTCTACTTCTCATCAAATGATTTGGAAAGTTTTTTAAAATTCTATCTCTTTTTATGTTTTAATTTGTAGTTAGTTGTTTAAGTTTATGTTCAAATGTATTATCTTTTTGTATTTTTGGACAAATATTATGTATGGTCTTGAGTTTTTAGATTTACTTTAATTAATGTATGACTTTGTACTTTCTTTTCACTTTAACATTCTAATTTATCTCATCAGCAGAAAATGTTTAATCTTAAATTATCCTCTAATATTGAACCCACCTCCTACTTTACTGCCATCCTTGACCCTAATTGGCAATGAGCATTTAATAATGAGCTTCAATCCCTCGTCAATAACAATATTTGTGATCTCACCCCTTCCCCCTCATAAACATGTCATAGGATGCAAGTGGATTTTTAAACAGAAATTCGAAATAAATGATACCATAGAAATATACAAATCTCGAAACAAATGATACCATAGAAAGATACAAATCTCGCCTTGCAGCAAAGGGTTCAATCAAATTGAGGGTTTGGACTATCATGACACTTTTATTCTTGTTATAAAAATGAACACCATTATACTTCTTCTTTCAATTGCTTCTTCTTAAAACTGGTAATTACACCAACTTGACATTAATACAACCTTTTTACATGGTGACTTAAAAGAAGAAGTCTACATGAAAATTTCCACCGGGCTAGAATTTTCTAACAAAAATCTTGTGTGCAAGCTTAAGATACCCATTTATAGTCTCAAGCAAGCTAGTAGACAATGAAACCATAAATTAACCACGCGTCTCATCTTCTTGGGCTATTCTCAATCCAAATCTGACTACTCCTTATTCATTAAGAAAAATGATAAGTGTTTTACAGCTATTCTTGTATATGTTGATGATTTAGTGTTAGTAGGTAATAGCCTCCTTGAGATAAATAACAATAAGAAATTCTTGGACGATGCATTCAGTATTAAAGACCTTGGTAATCTAAAATATTTTTTAGGTTTTTAAGTTGCAAGATCTACTCATGGCATATCAATTTGTCAACGCAAATATAGTCTATATATCCTTTATGAGACATGACTCCTAGTTGTAAATCTTGCCTCGACAACTATGAACCCAAGCCATAACTTGCAATGTCACAAAGCTCATCTCCTTTTTGATCTCACTCCTTTCATGAACCTCATTGGTAAGCTAATTTAATTAACACACTCTCGTTCTGACACCAACTTTTCTGTTTGCAGACTCAGTCATCACCTGACAGCACTAACATGACTACATATGCAAGTTATTTTTAAGGTTCTTTGTAACATAAAAAATGCTTCGGAACTAGGACTTTACTTCAAACGAAAGACAAACTTGACACTCACAAGATTTTTTGACTCTGACTAAGGGGTATGTCCAATAGCAAGACGTTCTTCAACGGGATTTTGTTTCTATTTGAGATCCTCGTCGATCTCTTGGAAATACAAGAAGCAACACATTATGTCTCACTCATCTTCTAAAGCGTAATACATAGCTTTGGCGAACACAACTTGTGAAGTCGTTTGGTTATAATATTTGTTGCATGATTTCCACATTCTCATTCACAAACCAATCACGATATATTGTGACAATAGAAGTGCGAACCAAATAGCTATCAATCATATATTCTATTAAGGTACAAAGCATATCAAAATCGATTTCACATCGTGCACACCAAAATTGTCATAACACCACTCATCTCATACCAATCAACTCGACCAACTAAGCTGCGAACATTTTTACAAAATCTCTCAATTTGGGGCCTTTCACTAACCTTGTTAGCAAACTAGAATTATTGAATGGACTAACTAGAATTGTTGAATATCCATTCTAATTTGAAGGAGGGTAATAAATTGTAATTTTTTAGTTTTTATTTTGTCTTTTAATACCTTATAGTGTAACTAATATAGCCGTTACAATTGCAACAATATTGGCTATTTTGTAGCTAGTCAGTGGTTATTTATAGGAGGCACATTACCACTTGTAAACCAAGCATTCGGGATTGATACTGAATCTTGAATAATATTCGTTTTTCATTTTTCTTTGGCCAGACGTCAATAGTAACATTTACCCTTAAAAAAGTAAATGTAGAAATTTATTTTTAAAAATTGTACATTTAATTTGATAAGTTTAAAAAGTGTTTCATAAAATATAAAAAGTATTTTTTTTAAATGCTTAACAAGTATTTTTTTTTATTGAAGTTTGACTTGTATTCTTAAGAGACAAGTTGTTTGATATATTATTAAAGTTTAAAACCATTGAAAATGATATATTAATTTAAGTTTCTTAATAGATTTAGTGGATAGTATAAGAATTATGTAAAAAAAAAATGAAAAAGAAGATTTGTTCATTTCTACTAAAATTTGCTTCCATAAAAAATAACGGAAAGACCATGGAACATGAATGGGAGTTTGCCATACATGCAATGGATGCATGGTTTAAAATGTGAGATCAAGTGATCAATTTGATAAGCATATACTAATAGATATGAAGCAGTTATAGTTACTTTACATAATTGATCATAGTTTCAAGTTAAGATTGCTCGCTTGATCCTCACAATTTAGACCATATATCCATTTTGTAATAGTGCTTCATAAAATAGGCATTGAGTATAGGATGGAACAAAACTACAAGATGCTGCATTATGAAGCACATAACTATAAGATGGAACAAAAAAGAATGGATTAAACTAATTACACCAACAATAAAATATGTAAACAGTAGGATTTAAGTTCAAGTTCCATTCAGTTTCAGAAGTCTAATTGACAAAAGAAGATATGAACTATGAAGTCATTCAAATATGATGTACTCATTGTATAAAGCAGTTGCACGACAAGCTCCGTCCGCAGAAATTCCATTCCATCTTTCTCCTTCATTCAGTGAACCAGTCAGTGAACCAGTCAGTGAACTAGTCAGCAGATACATCAAACTCATTCAACTCAGCACCCAAAGATAATCGCATGCATTGCATAATGCTCCGGAGCTGGTGAGAAGATGGCCCCAAAGATAAAGCAGCAAAGGGAGGAACATTGCACGGCATACAAATACCAGTCATGCTACTAGCTCCATAGCATGCACATTTTCTGTGAGTCTGCTTTCACCGATAGGCCTTTTTCTTTTGTAACAACTGACTTCAGTAAACTTTTAGTCCATATGATTCACAATTTTTTGTCCCCGGAACTCTAAATATTTACATATAGTCCGCTAATTTTTAAATTTTCTGAAAATTTTCCATAATGTAATTTCGATATGTTATGTTGAATAATAAGCTAACAAATCATTAGTTGATGTGTAAATGCATATTTTTTGGAATTTTTTCTATAAGCTAAAATCAGTTTTAAAATATACAGTAAGAAACAAAAGTAAGAAGTAATAGACTAAGGAAAAGAAGAAAAAAATGGTTTTTACTAGGTTCTCTTGTTTTTGATTTTTTTTATTAAATAAAATAATACTTCAATGATATGAATAAAATAAGATTTAAAAATTAGATGACTATATTTTTGAAATTTAAAATCAGAGGACTAGAACTGTGTGAATCAGTGAAAATAATCGGACCAAAAGTGTAAATAGAAAATACCTTTTCTCCGTTACTCAATCACATATTTACTTCTTGAGAAATCATGTCCCGCCTTGTTGTATGAAATAATTCAGAACATGTTAGATCCCGCACCCCTCCAAAGAATATCCTCCATCACAATGGTTTTAAGGAGCATCAGCACCCGTCTAATTTTGTGCAGATGCTGAGTGATCTTGGTTTTCAGTTTTTTCCAGATCAATGTTTTGGACTCTATTTGCTAGCTCTCCAACAGCTTCGGAGCTTGTAACATTCTCAGACTGAGTAGAAGGCGTGATCCATTTCCACCAACCATGTCGCCTCCTTATTTTGCCACCCTATAAATAAAGAGTAACAAATTAAAAACAAAAGAAACTGAAAAAATTAATACAAACACCTTACAAACAAAAAGTACCCCGATAAAACATTTTTCCTTTCAAATTTTTAAAACTAGAAAAATACCTGCATTTCAACCACAGATGAAGTCCGAACAGCATCAAATACAATCTGAATATTGTCAGTCAAATGTGCGACCTAATAGACAAAAAAACACCAAAGATTATCTAGTGAACAATGCTACAACACATATTACTATTGATATGACCCATCTGAAAGATTATCTAGTGAACAATGCTACAACCCACATTACTATTGATATGACCCATATGAAAGATTTAATTAAGAAAAACAATCAAATACCCTCAAACAACTTACTAGTTTGAACCCTGCTATTAAATTTAAAGGAACCCAGCCCTGATTGTCCATTATCCCTTTCAAGTAAACATCATTGATTAAATTTTGATCACTGCAAAAGACAATTTGTAGCAAAAATAAAAAGGGTCAACTTTCTAAAACAGTTAAAAATCATAATAAAACAATAAAATGAAAATTGATGCAGACATATGTTTAACACTACCTGAAATAGTAGTCAATTTGGCTGACAATCTTAGTATACAATTTGGGATCAAAAGGTTGATAAGTCATTGCATTAGGTGGTATCGATGGCACAAACGGAACACCTCCTAACGGCTCCATGGGCATAGATGGTCTATATAACACTTGAGACGGTGGTTCTGCAAGCATTTAATCATCAGAGAGAGCATTTACATAATACATCAAATACCATCCTAATGTTAAGACATCATACCGTAATATCCATATGAGCCACCAAAAGGCCATACTGGTTGTGGTGGTGGAGGAACATAATATTGTGCAGTATTAGCAGGCGGTGGAGGCCTTACAAATGGTGGAACAAAGCTTGGAGACCTATAATTGTTCCTCTGGTGAGCATTCAAGTCCTGATTTCCACGGACTTGGTCACGCCTGCCCCCATAATTTTGATGATGAAAACCATCTCCGCGTTGATGTTGACCACCACCCCGGTACTTGAATGAATTTCGGTGATGTGGTTGATCATTAGGCACAAATCCAGCTCTAGGTGGATAATAATTTGGAGCATGGTTGTGTGAACCTGGTGGGACAGCAATGGAACCTTGAGGCGCAGAGAATTGCGACGGATAACCTCCATTGGAAGTCATGTTCGGATTCGGACGCCTATAAGGTCTCTGATGAATTGGCATTGGAGGTCTATTGTTCATGCTAGCAGTATCCCTAACTCGGTCACGTGGAAAGGGAAGCATGGTTCCAGTACCCTAAAATCAACACTCAAGTAATGTCAACAATTTATGTGAACAAAATATAAAGAAAAACAGAAGAAAAAAAAATGTGAACAAATATAAACAAAAACAGAGACAAAACATGTATAGTAACCCCAAATATTTTTCACTAACATGCAGATTATATAGAAAAAACATAAACAAAAACAGACTCAGTAACGCAGCAAATACAACAAACCCTAACGGGATAAATAAAATAATCACTAAAAATTAAACATACTAAAACTGAATAACTTAAAATAAATAAATAAGCAATGTAAACTTAATTTTTTTATTTAATTTTTTTACATAAAATATAAAACTAAATTTGGAGAGAAAAAATACCTGCAATTGAGGCAAGGTTGATGCATCCAAAGAACTTTCCCCCACTTCTAGTGATGGCGGTGGTGGTGATTTCGCCGGAGCTTTGGCGGATTCAGACAAGGCAGGCCATGATTCAGCATCCATGACCGAAGAAGAAGAAGCATTGGAGGGTTTGTTCCAAACAATCCTCTGGCTCTGGCCAATATTGGCATTGTTTTCACCGGAGTTATTGTCGATGTCTTCCACCGCCGGAGTGACGGAGGGAGTGTCAACGACAACGGTGGCGGAAGGAGGTGCAGCGGAGGCGACAATCTGGGTCCAGGGTGGAGAAAGAGAAGCGGCGAGGGGAGGATGGTTGGGAGAGGAAGCATTGATAGCCATTGGATTTGGAATCGGTGTGCTTAGAAATCAATCTCTAGTGAAATTAAGATTCAGGGTTGATCTCCGTAATAAAAAGAATTTAATTTGTCAATTAGGGAATTTATGTTAAGCGTTTTATTCCCTTTTTTTTTTAATGATACCGTTGAGAATATAACGGATTTCGATTAAATCGGAACGATTCGTTTTTTTTTTATTTAATTGAATTAATTTTTAAAATAAATTGGAACGAGTCAAATGTTTTTAAAAGTAATTTTGAATAATTTTTAAGTTTGATTGGAATGAGGTGGCGAGTTTTTTAAAATAAATTTAAATTTATTTGTCAATATTATCGTTGAATTACATATTTTAATTTCTATTTAAAATTTGATTTTTATTTAAAAAAATTATATATTGAATAATTTATGAAAATTGTGTTGAATTGTTTTAATAACACTCCTCAAAATATTATAGTTTTATAGTAGAGAAAATATATTTTGGATTCTTTAAATTTATTTAAATATTAATTTTAAAATTATTTATTTATTAATGTATAATTTTTTGGAAAAAATTTATTCTAAAATTAAGTTGATCTTTTATTAAAAAATATCAATCATAATATATGTAAAATAATTATAGTATTATTATTTTTGATACATAAAGATTCAATTTTTATTTAATTTAAAATTAATTTTCTAATAATAAAAAATAACATATATTTATAGGATTATTAAGAAACATATTAATATTTTAATAATTTAAAATTAATTATAGTTTTTATTGTAACATTTATATAAAATATATTCAAGATTATACAAAAATAGCATGTTGCTATCCCTTTTTAAATGATAAAATTAATCATTTTAAAAATTACATTCATTGTCTTAGGAGACACAAGATTGCTATGCATGAACATTTACACTCTTGGTAAAAGATCAATTGTTTATGGTGTTAGAAAATCAAAAGTGTCGTAGACAAATGGTATAATAGTAAATTAGTTGTCTGAACACGATTTCTCATACTTGGTCACCTTACTTGAAGATGTTTTGAGAGTTGTTTGTCTCACAGTAAAACCTCCGGTCTTCAATCTCACAAGTAGGAAAACGTCAACCAAATCTACATATGCATGTTTACCTCCTACCCATGCGTATACCAGAATATTTATTGATCTGAGTGTTGATCTCCCTTCTTGTGGGTCACTCAAGAAATTTATAAGTGCCTCTTTCTTCACATATATATATAGACACTCTAAAATATGTCAAATAAGCATCTCTAACAAAGTCATATAGGTATTTGAATCCTAGAAGCTCCTTCCAATAAATATTGTGTTCCTTTAATGTATCTAAGCACTCTTTGCGGTAAACAAGACAAACTTCATCAACAAGAAACAAAAAAATCATAAGTTGATATTTAAGAATGATACAGTATTCTATTGAAGACAAATGTTAGCCTAGACCATCAATAGAGATATAAAGAAAAAAAATCTTGAGCATGTGTAAAAAAACAATTACACCATAAGTGCTTAAATGTTAATCTCGATATAAAATTAATATTTATACACTAATATGAAAATCTTTTTTATTGATACAACAATCAAATCATGTCAAATAAATACTTGTTAAATAAATTAAAAAGTAGTATTACGAAATAATTTGTTGGGTTTTAAGAAGTGTTATAAAAAATATGAGCGGTTTGAAAATATTGTGTGTGTGAGTGTGCGCGCGTTGCTTAGTGTCTCAAAGTCTACTCTATTTCATTTACAATTAACTTATAAAAAATAAGATAGAACACTAAGCGCGAGCTTTCACAACTTCAGTTCCTTTCAATTTTATTTGACTTTGATTTTTTCTTTCAATTAAAACTTTAATACTTGAACTTGTACTTTCTTCTTTGACGTTAAGATACTTTAGATATACCTATTTGTTATTCATATATCAACATCTAGAACCATTTGAAGAATTGTCATCATGAAAAACATTTAACGATATTACATGTTCAACACATACAACCACATTCTACCCATTTCTTATGATAACAATGCATCTATCAGGGACGTGGTAAAACAGAAAAAAGAGAGATGAAATATTTTAGTTGTTAAGCTTTTGTCACAAATAAAAAGAGTATACTCTGTATTTCTTCCCCTTTGTCATTATCAAAAAAGTGTTAAAATAAAAGAGAAAGAGAAAGAAACGAGATTAATAATACATAAAAGCACATTTAAGCAAGGCATAAGTCCATTTTTGTTTCCACAATAGGAGATATCCAATTTGAGTTCAGTTCATTGAACGAAATTCTTTGATGGTCTTCTTCATCTTTGTTGATTGTGGATCTATGTGTTTGCATGTATAGTCAATGTGATCCAAGTTGGTGAAACTTATGAATTGCAAAGATGCAAGTCAACTAAGTAGTTGTTTAGTTTTGATGATGAAAACACTTGAAGTCAAACATCTGCTGAAGATAGATCAAGCATTCAAAGATGCATAATATGGTTAATCAAGTTATACTCTTGAAAATAAAGACATATATTTGAAGTCAATGTTATGGTCAAACGACATTCAAGTAAAGACTTCAGTTTCCAAGACCAATTATGATTTAATCATTCAGATGATGGTAATCGACGTGAAATATCTCAAGCCTTATTAAGAAGACTCAAGGTTCTATTGTGATGAAAAACTCAATAATAATGATGCCAATAATTTAAGCTTCAAAGTTGTGAAAGAAATGAAGTGTGAAAGCACGCTTAGTCGTGTCTATATGAGTGACCGATATCTTGTAAAGACACGAGGATATTTTTAGAAATATTATGGTTAAATCACACACACACATACACCAACAACATTAGAGAAGTCTCTCATATTTTACTTAAACCACCTAAAAATGTTTTTGCATCCTAGCCAATTGATTAAAGGAGCGTATAATTAATTGAAAGACCTTTTTCAAATAAATAATTGATTATACGAAGTAGGTGTTTCCGAATTCAGTCCACAGTAATAGTCTCTTAATGGTTGATAACAAATAAATATTAAAACCTTCCCTTTATTACCATAACAATTAATTATTTAGGTTGCTTAATTGATTAGCCTAATTGAATATGATATTTAATTGTCACATGGATTGTTTGCAAAATTATGACACACTTTGGCTTATAAATAAATAGCTTCTCTATCACGTTTCACATTCAGAAAATGAGTTTAAACCTTACTTTTGATTTCTCTCATCGTCTCTCTCAATTTCTCATATTTTCACATATTTTTAATCATTGTGCTTCAAGAGTAGTCTTAAGTCTAAGTGCGGTAATCATTATGAGTGAGAGAAAATTTGTAAATTTATCACGAGTGTATTATCTCGAGTAAATAATTCTTCTATAGAAAGTTGTTATTTTGGTTACGAGTTAAACCAGTTAAAAGCTCCTATATTTTTGGGGGATTTTCTTAAGAAATCTCGGGTTGGTTCGTGAAAATCATCCATTGAAAATCTCTACAATAGTTATTGAGCTCAATTCGGTTAAAAATTCTATCAGCTTGAGGTCAGCTCATCTGAAATCTATCTTGGTTTTTGAGTTCAGCCTTGTGTAAAAGCTTATTAGGTTCGAGTTCATCCCGGTGAAAATCTCAAATTGGTTTGTGGTCAGCCTATGTAACACTTTGGTTCAATTTGGAGGATAGTCAACTCAAAAGTCTAGTTTATGTTCAAGATTAGCCTTGAAAAATATTTGTTAGTTTGGAGACTAGCCGCTCTAAGTCATTGTTCGTTTTTTGGTTAGTAGTTACCTTGGAGGTTTCATTTCCTTGTATACATAGATTCGTGGGCATGTCCTTCTAAAAGCTCTCAAGTTTAATGGATACTCTCGAGAATAATTCTCGGTGACAAGAGTATGTCATTCTTAGAACGAACATGTATAATTATTTGGTGTTCCTTGTAAAACCCTTCTAACCCAACGAATAATTTCATGAATAATTTAATAATAAATCAAACATATATCACCAACAAGGGTGTCACATCTTTATATGAACATCATGTACTAAACATCATGCTCCGCAACATAATCCAGAAACACCTTCAAGTACAAGTCTTAACATCTAAAAGATTTAATCATTGGAAATAAGGATAGTCTTAGGAAGACAATATTTGCATTCAGAGGAGAGCATTTCATGCTATGACTTATCTCTATGATTGAACCTACTTCTATTAACGAAGCACTATTAGATGATGGATGAATTGTGGCTATGCAAGAAGAGATGAATTAGTTTTAAAAGAATGATGTTTGGGATCAGGTACCCAAACCTCATCAGAAGAAAATTATTGGAACATAATGGGTCTTCAGAAACAAGCTCAATGAACAAGGTGAATTGGTAAGAAATAAAGCTAGCCTTGTAGCTCAAGGCTACAGTCAATAAGAAGGTATTGATTTCTCTGAAATCTTTGCACCTATTGCAAGGTTAGAGCTAATCAAATTACTCATGTCTTATTCTATTAATCATAATATCATTTCATACCAAATGGATGTTAAGAGTGCATTTTTAAATGGTCTTATTTTTGAATAAGCGTATATCAAACAACCACTTGGGTTTGAGGATTCTATTCATCAAAAACATATTTTTAAACTTAAGAAATCACTTTATGGACTCAAATAAGCTCTTAGAGCTTGGTATAAGAGACTGAGTAATTTCCTTTTAGAAAATGGTTTTAAAAAACGTCAATTGGACACTGCACTATTCAGAAAGACATTAAAGAATGAAATCTTAATTGTTCAAGTTTATGTTGATGATATTATTTTTGGCTCTACCAATACTTCTCTTTGGAAGGAATTTTCTAAGACAATGCAAACTCAGTTTGGAATGAACATGATGGGAGAGTTGGAGTTCTTTCTTTGAATACAAATCAATCAATGCAAGAATGGAGTTTATGTTCATCATACCAAATACACAAAGGAACTTCCAAAGAAATTCAAGCTGGATGATAACAAAATCATGGCGACTCCTATGCATCCAACCTACAATCTGAGCAAAGAGGAAAGCAACACC